TGAACCAAATTATACCTCTGGAAGCAGGAATTTCTTCTGGAGTCTCTGGAAAACTTCAAACTCATTTTTTAAAAATTATTTTTAATATTCTATTTCTAAAAGATGTGGAAAATGTTTCATTATGTGAAAATAATGTGACTGTTTCCATATTTTGATACCTTATTTTCCAGATTACTCGACTTGAAGAGTTTATTTAGTATTTGAATTACAACTATCTTAAAACATCAGTTTCAAATCAGTGGGGCCCAAATCAGTGAAGCTTTGCCTAATAGTTAATGCCTGAGGGCAGAAGGGAGTTGAGAGCCAAATCTCAGGGTTTGCACAGAAGATGTTGCATAATGGGAAAACCTTCTCTCAACCATTAATTTGGCTGACAATGATGTGACTCTTCAAGCTGTTTTGCCTTCAGGAGTGGGGTCCGTAAAGGAGATGGCCTCAGGCCCCTCACTGAGACTTTCTAGTGTAGACCTCTGATGTTCTTTAATGATATATAATTGGACCAGACCAGACCATGGGGCTTTAATAGCCTTTCTCTGTGGTCTGTAAATTTGCAAAGGCTTGGGTAACTACTGTCTTTCTTTAGGACATTGATGGAAAGTCCCAGTGCTCACATTTTATGCTTATTAGTGATACTTTTCATGAGTTCCCAGGGCTAAAGTGACTCTTTGCACTGTTTAATGATTTTCGGTTTAGCTCCCTTTCTGAGTGGGATGTTGTAAAGATTAATTAGCCAATGTTCATAAAGTGCTTTCAAGCTGAAAAGTGCTGCACATGGGTGTACAGACTCATTAGCTTCTTAGTCATTAAGGCTTTTTAGACTTTTTGGCATTCAGAAATAGGTGGTAAAGGCCAAATTGGTATTTTTTCGTGGTAGAGGGGGACTTCAGAAAGAGTAGAATAGAGCAGTATATCTTTAAAAGAAATAAAGACATCTGTTACACTGGGACTGAAAAATAAAGATATTAAAATGTTTTGGTTTTCATTATTTCCTCTTCTCTACTGCTTCAGCTTCTTCCTATCTCTCTCCTTTCAAAATATGTTTGCCTGCTTATTCTACACATTAATTTGGAAATTCTAGTGATTATATTGTCATATGGATCTGGCCCCACAGTGCTGAATTATTGTGCCTTGAATGACATAGGGTAGATCATTCCCTTTGTAAATAAAGATGCCCTCTCAGTTTGCAATATGTCATGACGGTATGATATTGTCTCCATCCACAGTAATCTTTGGTCAATATATATTTTAGAGTTCTTATGATTCGTTAAGCTTTTGATTGAGACTGAAAAAGTACAAATTGTCCACCAAAGACATAAAGAGGCCCTAAAAAAAACCAGAGACAAAGGCGGATAATCTAAAAAGAAACAGATTGGCAACTGACTTTTTAGCAGCATCAACTGCACATGATAGGACACTTAACATCTTCCAAGTACTTAGAGAAAATAGCTATAAACCTAGAATTGTATACCCAGCTAAATTACCTTTTAAAATTGATCATAAAATAAATATATTTTTATATAAAACAGAAACAAATCCTTTACCACCAGTGCTAACGGATGTTCTAAAGAATTATCTTCAAAATGAAAGATAATTATCCCAGACTGAAGGAGGGAGATGCTGGAAGGAATGAAGAAAAAAAAATTGTAAAATGTGTGCGTAAATCTAAAGAAGTATTAACTAATAATAATAATAATGTCCAATTTACAATCACAAGACAGAATAAGAAAAAATGTAACATGTATACCAGGAAAGTAGTGTGAGACTTAAAATATTCCAAAGTCCTTAGCTTATTTGCAAGGAGACTAAAGATGTTAAATTTAGAGTTTGTTAAGTATATACATAAAATTTCTAGTTTGATTGCTAAAATAAAGGAAATATTATATAATAGAAGGGAGAATCAATGGAATGAGAAAATATATCAATAAGGACTGGCTCAGTAAAAAAGGGAGAAAAAAATATATAATTTGGATTTCAGTAACTGTTCCTGGGGCCCTTATCTACAATTACAAATACTAAGTAACTATGTTGTGAAGTTCATATATACACCTATAGACAAATGAAAAAAACAAACAAACAACAATTTTAATGATATGCGAACAGGTGCTTCTGACCTGGGATAAACTCTTCAGCAACAGTATCATACAGATTACATGGGTCTGTGTTATAGGAGAGGAACCTCAAATGAAGGGAACCCAAGTCTTTTATAATGGACAGTAAGCCTGAACTCTGCTCCAGAGGGTGATACTATCTTAATTATACTGTGTAATAAATAATTCCGTTCTTTGCTCTGAAAGAAGACATTATCTTTTTTCCACACCTGTTTACTATACAAGCGCCCTTGAAAGACGTAGCCAGTGCCTTTTTTTCTAAAATGTGCAGAAATGTAAGAGACCCATGGAGATTTATCTCCAACAACTTTGGATAAGTTCATAAAGCCTCAGTTTTATCATCTGAAAAAATGGAATGAATGGTATAATACATAGTTGTGAGGATCAAATGATAAGTACACATAAAATGCTTAATATCATATCCAAGGACTTTATCAATATCAATTACTATTATAAATGATTATTTCTTGAGTAAGATGTGAGCATGTTTATTGAATTATTTGTTTTCTTTACCAAATAGAATATTGCAGTTTACTGATGTTTCTAATTATTAGAATCACCAAATATTAGAACTAAAAAGGACCAGAAATATTATCCAGTAAAACCAGGCATTTTACAGATAAGGAAATAAGTTCAAGAGGTTAAGTGGCTTGTTGACTTTCTCACAGAACAGCCAAATAAAAAAAGACAATGGTTATCTGATTTAATATTCAGATTCTTTTAATTATATACAATGCTTGGAGCTCAATAAATTTGGTATTACAAGCAAATTGAAACAAGACTATGATATATTAGAAAACGTTTCACACATTCATTTGGTTATTCTCTTCTTCTTACTTGCCTGACCTATAAAACACCTTAAACTTGGCTCCTGAAGGTAAATAAATACAGGAATGAATGAATGAACGAGGGAAGGAAGGAAGGAAAAAAAGAAGGAAGAAAAAGAGGAAGGGAGAAAGGAAGAGGTGGGGAGTTAAATTAAATAACCCATATCTCCTCCTGCCCTCCACCTCCATCATAGTCTCTGTCTCCACGGCAGAGAAAAAAAAACAAAACAAAACAGAAAACTGTGAGGAAAGTGCTTTCTGTGTGTGTAGGTGATATTGAAAATGGTCCCATTCTTGCTAAAGGCAGGGAAATTCTGGCAGAACATCTGGCATCTTTTATGTTAACACCTTATAATGGCTTATTTACAAACTTCTCAAGGCATGGAAGGGAGTAGTAAGAAAGGGGAAAGAGGGGTTGACAGAAATAACATCTAGTTCTAGTAAGGCAAGATGTCGTAGGAATGATTGATCATCAGTTGTACAATTAGGTGAACCTGAGTTCTTACATGAGTTTGAACAAGTTACTGAGTTTCCTGATCTCTACAATGTATATAATATTCCTCCATGAGGAGCTGATGTGCAGTTCAAATGAAGAAATGAAGTGAGAGTGTCTGGCATATAGCAGGTCCTCATTAGATATTAATTTATTTTTGAAGCAAATCCAGTGAAGGAATTTATTCTGAAAAAATTTGTAAAAATCAAATGATTGATTTTGTACCTCTACTTAATACCAATCCCATTGTTTTTCTCTCTTCTTTAAGAGTAGGATCATAGTACTAGCTATGAATTGTGAAATGCTTTCAAGGACCCAAGGTAAGAGTTTAGTATGCCCAGATAGCCAGAGCAAGATTTTAATAGGAAAGAAGTGATGGGGAATGTGAATTTCTCATCTTTTGTCCACCTTAAGCCTTCTGCAGAATCACCTTTCACAGCAGGTAATGCTGATCTGGGTGTCCCAGGATGTCTCATAAGTGATCCTGGGCAGATCTGCTCCTGCTGTTCTCATTCCTCCAGTGGGCACTGCACTGTCCTCTTCTGGGCATCACAGAAACTGCTCTTTTGCCACTGCCCTGTCCTTCTTCCTAGGGTACCAAAGTGTACTGCCCTGTCCTTCTTCCTAGGGTACCATAGTGTACATGCGAGAGAGAGAGAGAGAGAGAGAGAGAGAGAGAGAACGTGTTAAAGAACATCCCCTTCTCTCTCTGCTATAAAGAAGTCCCAAACATCTTCACATGTCACGATGTCCTCCAACCTTTTGAAGAGTTTAGGGAAATATTTCTTTAGGTTTTTACTTGGAGCAATCTCTTCCTCTGGAATCAGAGATTCTGGAATTGAATTTGAGTGAGAGTGCTAGGCAGTGCAGAAAATCCCTAGACCTAGACCCCTTGTTGTTAGAAAGTCTCTGTTAGGGTTGAGCTCATCACACCTCGTTGTTTTTTTCCCACAGGATGCATGTTCTCTTAAAGGATCCCCAGCTTTTCCTCAAACAGACTTCTGTAGGACCATCCCACCAATTTGCATTCATGGCCAATTTTGTCAGCATAGTAGTGGGCACAATTTGAGCTCTTTTGCATGGCGCTACTAGGCCCCCTGGCCCCTAAATTTCTACCGGGCCCCTCATAACAAGCATACTGAAATGTGTAACTGACAGAGTCCTAGGGTCATGATGATATCCCTGCTACATATATATATATGTCCGAAGACATGGACATATGTCCCGCCTACCTCTAAATGTGAGTATGGTCGCTTGCCTTAAATTCTAGATATATCAGAGTTCATTTATCTTTCATTGTTCAAAGAAGAAATACAGAGATGATTTAGACACGGTTCCTGTATCATAGCCAACATAGTCTGTTGCTTCACTTTGTCTTCATGGATGTGACTGTTCCTACTTAAAGCTTGACTGAGACCATCTTGTAGTTAACTCTTAAAAATAGCCCTTCTGAAGTTAAGATAATAGTATAAACAACTCCATACTCAATCTCTATGGTTGAAAAGAAAATATTACAATTAGGTATATGCAGGAAATGTGGAATGTGGTTCTTAACATTCTCTTTGCCCCCAGGTTATGCAGATGTATCTTCCGTTTTGTGGAATCGCCATATCTAATGCTCAGCTATTTGCCGCCTCAAGGAAAGAATATGAAAGAAGCAGGGTGAGTAGAAAGAAACATTGCTGACAGCCCTCAAGGCTCACTGTCTGTCAAGTGTCTGGGAGTCATTTTGTTTTTTAAAAACCACAAATGATCTTTTTTATTTGTACAATCCTTCAAGATTATGATTGAAGATTCTCTGTAAGCAATACGCTCAAGTGGAAGTGTATACAAATTTGCTTTTGCTGTTGGGAGGAAATAATATCGGCTTCTCTTAAAAAGGAAATGAATTTCACACCTATACTGTAAGGCAGCGGATGTATTCTTGCTTGTTGTTTTAAAACAATAACACAATTTAGTGATATTTTTACCATATAATTCCTTTAAGAAGCAAGGTATGTTGCAAATGATGTCAGTCACCCTACATCACACATATAGAGGGACTGGTCTCATATACTTTCACCAGTTATAGAGTTAAATAGTTTTAAAAAGAAATAGTTAAAAAATGCTAAACTATCAAATAGAGATTAAATGATATTAGGGTCATTATACTTTTAAATATAGGGAAATTCCTGTCGCATCTTAGAAATGTATTTAACAAGATGTTCCAAAAGGTTGGAAACCTTCAGTTAATTAGTAATAAAATTGATTAAAAGGTTCGTTTGCTAAACATTATGATTTATTAATATTTTTCAGTAAACTAACACAGTTGACTACTACAGCCATTTTCTTTAGCATAGCATACATACCACACCTTTTCTCTGGCTTGGATCTTGTTTTCCTCTTGTCCCTATGTCTTACTATTGTCTTCCTATTTGACACTCCAGAAATACAGCCCCCAATTTCCAGAGAACAATCTATTGGTTTCATTTTCTCATACCTTTAACCATATTTCTTTCTCCCTCTACCTTTAATGCATCATGTCCACCTTTTTTCTTCCACTGCCATTTGCCTTGCATCTTCTTCAGGACCCAGCTCAGACTTTTAGTTAGTCTTCCTCGCTTTGCTTATTGTTTTTCCTTGTACATACTGCCATTATTTTATTGGGGATACTTATCACATTGTATAACATTTATTGATGGCCTCCTTTCCAACTACATTTTGAACTCCTTAAGAGATGCTTCAAGTACTATTAATCTTTGCATCTTCATGAAGGGCACAATTCATTTACTTATTCCACAAATATTTATCAAGTGATACTCTTCACTTGTTAAATAATATAGTTTAGGTAATGATAAGTGCTATAAAGAAAAATGAAATGAGATAAAGGGTTAAAGACTGGTCACTGAAGGTTAGTTTTGGAGGATGTCTATTTTAGAGAGTATTTAAGAAGGTCTCTATAAAGAGATGATATTTGAGCAGAGACTTGAATGAAATGAAGGAGCAAAGCCACACAAAGATTTGAGAAGAGCATTCCACACAGTAAAAATATTAAATGCAAAGGCACTTGGTCTGTGTGTCTAGAGTACAGAGATGAAAGATCACAAACAGCCAAAACAATCCTAAGAAAAAAGAACAAAGCTGGAGGCATCACACATCCTGATTTCAAACTATACTATTAAGCTATAGTAATCAAAACATTATGGTACTGGCATCAAAAACAGACACCTAGACTAATAGAATAGAATCTAGAGCCCAGAAATAAACTTAGACAGTCAACATATGTTTCATGAGGGAGCTAAGAATACTCAATAAGGAAAAGATAATTTTTTCAGTAAATGGTACAGGGAAAACTGGATACGCACATGTAAAAGAATGAAATTGGACCCCTATCTTACACTACTCATAAAAATAAACTTGAAATAGATTAAAGACTTAAATGTAATATCTTAGATTTTAAAACTCCTAGAAGAAAATGGAGGGAAAAGCTTCAGTGATTTTTTTTGGATTTGACACAAAAGCACAAGCAACAAAAGCAAAAATAAACATTTTAGACTACATCAAACTAAAAAGCTTCTGCACAGCAAAAGAAACAATCAACAAAATGAAGAAGCAACCTACAGAATGGGAGAAAGTACTTGCAAACCATATATATCAGATAAGGGGTTAATAGTCAAAATATTCAAGGAACTCATATAATTCAATAGCATAAAAACAAATAATCCAATTTAAAAATGAGCAGAGGATCTGAAGACATTTTTTCCAAAGAAGACAGACTAATGGCCAACAGGTACATGAAAAGATGCTCAACATCGCTAATCATCAGGGAAATACAAATCAAATCCATAATGAGACATCACCTCACACCTGTTAGAATGGCTTTTATCAAAAAGATAGGCGGTAACAAGTGTTGGTGAGGATGTGGAGAAAAGGGAACCCTTGTGCACTGTTGTTGGGACTATAAATCGGTACAGCCAATATGGAAACAGGGTAGAGGTTTCTCATAAAATTAAAAATAGAACTGCGATATAATTCAATAACCCAACTTCTGGATATGTATCCAAAGGAAATGAAATCACTATCTCGAAGAGATATCTGCAACCCCATGTTCATTGCAGCATCATTCAAAATAGCCAAGACATGGAAGCATAAGTATCCATCAGTGGATGAGTGAGTGCATAAAGAAATTGTGGTATATATACACAACAGAATATTATTCAGCCATGAAAAAGAAGGAAATCTTGCCATTTGTGATAACATGGATGGACCTTGAGGGCACTGGGCTAAATGAAATAAGCCAGACAGAGAAAGATACTGTATGATCTAACTTACAATTTGGATGTATGAAAAACAGAATTCATAGAAACAGAGTAGAATGGTGGTTGCCAGGGGCTGAGGTGTGGGGCAAATGGAGAGATTCTGGTCAAAGTGTACAAACTTTCAGTTATAAGATGAATAAGTTCTGGGGATCTAATATTCAGCATGGTGACTATACTTGACAATACTGTATTATATGCTTGAAAGTTGCTAAGATAGTAAATCTTAATGTTCTCACCAGAAAAAAATTATAATTATGTGAGATGATGCATACATAGTGTTAACTAACCTTATTGTAGTAACCTTTTCACAATATATATGCATATCAAATTATCATGTTGTGTACCTTAAACTTATACCAAGTTATATGTCAATTGTATCTCAATACAACTGGAAAAATAGAGAGAGAGAGAGAAAAGGAAGAAAGGAAGGAAGGCAGGCAGGCAGGAAGGAAGGAAGGCAGGGAAGGCAGGCAGGAAGGAATGAAGGAAGAAAGGAAGGAAGTAAGGAAAGAAGGAAGTAAGGAAGAAAGGAAGGAAGGAAGGAAGGAAGGAAGGAAGGAAGGAAGGAAGGAAGGAAGGAAGGAAGGAATCCCATGGTTGTGACTAGGGCAGTGAGAAGTAAAAGATTTCCCCTTAAATTAGCTGCGATAAGGCTTACTGATGCAGAAATGAGTGAAAACGACTGGTTTGTACAGCTGGCAGGTAAGCAGTTGAATACCATAATCTAAATTTTGGGGAGATGTCAGGACTCAAGGTTAATTTTTAGAACCATCAGCATATAGATGGTATTTAAAACTAGGGTGTCATGTGGATTAATCTGGGGGAGAAGGTGTGGATAAGAGAAGGGAAGAGGCCCAAGGATGAGGCCAGGAGCAAAAGTTCACTAGAAGAAGAAAGGGGAATGCAAGTGAATTCAGGAAGCAGGGAGTGTTCAGCTGTGTGAAAGGCTTCCAATGTCTGTTGAATTGCATATCATCCTATATTTTCTTCTCTTTTTTATCCTATTCTGGAGAAAGTCTGCATTGTTATTTGTCAAACTTTTGTCACTTGTTAGTAAGGCAGCCATTTTTAATTAGAGACAATAAAGTTGCTATAATGTGTTTTGTCAGTGCAAGACTCAAGGCGGAATGACTTTTTCCTCTGAGATAAATGTTCTTGTATATGGGTCCCAGAGGCCCTATCTATGCAGTCACAACAAATTGAAAAGTTAAATAATTGTTCAGTTAATATGATCCATCTGAAGAAATAATCTGAATGATTAAGGAAATAATGTTTCCTACTTAATAACAGGGAATTTTTTGGTAATTATTTAGACAATTACCCCATCTTTAATGTTATATTTGAATATGAAATTATTGCACATTGACCTTTTACGGTGATTTGTTGTGCAAATGCCAGTCAGGATGCCGTTAAAAATATTTTTCCCCCTCCTGGTATTTCTCTTTGCTTTGGATTCACAGAGCAGGCCTTAGGCATATTCATATGCTCTCTTTAGAGAAAACACTACCCAGGATATTTGATCCTTTTTGGATGCTTAGTGAACTAGACTCATTTCATGGATCTCTTAACTCATTTAAATGCTTTTCTACATGAATAGACTCAGAAAAGAACTTTTCACATGTTTCAAATAGTTTCAAGTCAAATCAAATTTATTACCAAAGTTGAAAATTTGTCATGTCCCTAGGATGATGATCAACACCATCTCTCTGAATAAAAGTGAATTTGAAAACCCATTAAATCCTTTTGTGAGAGATCAGACCTGAGAATGCACATCTTATTAAACTCTATTGAATAAAACACCCTTTGGCCAAGTCACCGGCTGTGCAATTTTCTGATTGCTCTTTGACAACACATAATATCTACTACCTGTATGTGGCCCACTATTCTTAAATCTCTGGAAACATCCATATAATGAAAAATTCCAAATAAACAGCATTTCAATGTAAAAATTGCAAGCTAATTTAGCTGGATAAGATAACAGGTTATTACAATTTGATTTTTAAATGAACACACAGTTTTTAAACTGTAATTTAAGTTTTTTCTTTTTCTTTTTCATTCTGCTGTTTTAACAGAAATTTTAATAGCGTTTTCTTTCTTGAGATATGTAATAATATTTACATGTTCTGGACAGATTGAGATGAAGCAGTGCAGAAAGATTAATGGGGTTTTATATATTGTTTTGAAGGTTCTGAAACTTAATGAGCATCTACCACTATAATTCTTTCAGCGTTCTGTGAGAGATGTGTATTAGTGAAAATAAGCCTCAAGTGTGACCATGAAGCTATTCCTTCTTATTGATGAGGAAGAGCTACTTTATAATTTTCTGAAATAAATGTGCTTTGGAGAGAATCAGGTATTCATTCGTTACTTATAAAATGTTGGGTTTATACCTAGTCACATTGCAGAAAAAACTACTGTGGCACGCGGATGCCTATAATTAATGACTGTATAGATTATGTAGTCATTAGCTGTATGGGATATAGACTTATGACTTTATGTGGGATTTATATGGGAGTATATGGACTGATGCTATTATCGAGTTGTGTTTTACAATTCAAGACTATTATAAAACAAAATGATGAGAATATGTTAAAATAATCATAAATGCATTAAAAATTAGCTACACAAAAATATTTATATTTTATTATAGCAAAGACCGAATGGAATTTTGAGAGAAAAACACCCAATGTTTTTATTCAGTACTATTTCCATCTAAACACATTCCTTTTATCTTTCCTAGGCATTGTTAGAGGTGGTTAATGATCTCTTTGAAGAACAGACTGACCTGGAGAAAATTGTCAAGAAAATAATGCATCGGGCCCAAACTCTGCTGAAATGTGAGCGCTGTTCTGTTTTACTCCTAGAAGACATTGAATCGCCAGTAAGTTATCTGTTATCTGTCATGTAGAGTTGAAGACTACATTAATGGAATGAAGTTTATTTTGTTTATAATTAAGTTTGTGAAATTGTGACTTGAACCACTTTCTTTATGACTCTCACCATGAGGTGACTTTTTATACAATTAAATTTTTTATTTCCTTTACATGTCTTGTTTTGCTGTCACCTTAGAAATATAGACTCTTGTGCTGATGGGGGCCTTAGAGATCTATCCCCGTCCCATATATTAACAGATGAGGGAACTAAGGGATTAAATGGTTGGCCCAATCTCACACAATTGAATAGGAGACAAACTCAGGTGCCAGTTTTCCATCATAGTTACCCCGCGAGTGGAAGGCCCTCAGTATTTATGGGCATGGGTTGCAGTCCAGACAATGCTCCACAGCCCTCTTACAGGGAGGAAGAAGCAAACTAACATGGGAGAAGCAGCGCCCTTTGCTCTAGGGGCCAGGACGATTTGTTCTTGAGTTGAGTGGGGTGTCCGGCCTCGGCTGCGCTTTGCTGTGCTGCGCTGTGCAGCAGAGGTTTGTTTTGCTGCTTCTGAAGTGCAGTCCCCGGGTTCTTTTACTACTCCTTTGGACCTGCAGACACTCGCACGGAGCACCCCCGTCAGGTAGAGGAGGCTCATTTCTTCTTCACCATAGGAATTTGTGTTATTCCAAAGGCAAGCATCAAACTAGTACCTGGCTTTCAGCTTCTGTTAAGCTCTTCAGTTCTTCGCGGGAAATCTACTGGGTAAATATACAACAATATTGAAAATAATGATCATCATCAATCTAACTTCCTGGAAGTTAAACATCTAAACCCTCAGCAGCAATATATCTTTGCTGCTAACTCTCTTCAAAGACCAGGAATTGTCTAGCAATTAAGTGCTATTTTAATACCTCAGAGAATGATATTTTACTGTACTTTCAGTTTGTGTTCCTCATAGAATAAGAACTTTAGGGTAAATTATGGAGATTTAATAAGTATTGTAAAACTTACAACATTAAGTTTTTTAAAAAACTATATATGTTTAAGATGTTTAGGAGTGTTTGCCCATAATTTTGCAGAGCTTGGGGTTATTTCTATTTCAGTAGGTGTAGTTTAAAGCAACAATAGCCTTTCAATTATCTGTGATTGTGTAAAAATCAATGGAACCTTGGGAGAACACACGCGCACACACACACACACCAGCGCATACTTAAGGAGTGCTTCCGGATGCTTTGTGAATCACCTGAGTTTAATCCTCACTGCAGCCTTATGAGATAGTTCTTATATCCTCACTTTAGAAATGAGGAAATAAGGCTTAGAGAGTTAAGTGACTTGATAGAGTCACTCCCTACTGCTGACTCTAAACTCCCTGAAAGGAATGAGAAGGCTGTAGGGCTGCTCGTTGGTGCCAGGCAGGCTGTGAGCTGTCACTAAGCAAAGGTAGAAAGGGGCAGCTCTTGGGGCCTCAGCTGCCAAGATTCCCTGAGTCACTACTAGGTCACTGTGAGAGCAAGTGCTTGAGGGGCCAGGTAAAATCTGGACAAGGACAAACTCATTGTTTTCTAGTTCAGTTGTAAACAGACATGAAGGTAATTTAAACCAACTTAAGGTGGTCATTCTTGCCAATCTTCTAAATGGACTACTTATTATACTGTGGTCTTGCTCTTTGGTAGATCAAATGAAAATGTATGGAAGCTGATATGAAAGGTGCAGCAGAGCTAGAGGCAATAGTAGTGACAGTAATAGCTTCATGGTATAAAGTATGGAGAGGGTCAAAAAATGCCATCTAGATTAGATACAAGCAATAAAGGTGTTGGTACATTACTGAAAGTTAAGACCTTTTTAGTCTCACAGCTGACCATTGTTAGAGCAAAAGATTCTGGGCCGCTCCTCATCAGTCTTCTCTTTGCCCATTCCCTCCCCCTCAACGTGAGGATGAACTCCTCTGACCCCCAGGAGCAGGGTCTGTGGGTGAAAGTGAACTAACTACGTGCAAAAAGAGGAGATTAATTTACTCAGTGCTGTTTTAGAAGCTGTGAAGGAGTTTTGCCAAGGCTGCAGTCTGGGGAGGTGGTGGGAGAGAGGGAGTATATATATATGACATCATCATGCAGAAAACCCATCAATGTCATGATTTCCTTTAACACACTTCTCACCAAAGTTTTCTCACAACTTCAGATTCAAAGGGGCCACTGTTCCGTGTGCTACCCTAGTTGTCAGGGAGAAATTATAGGAAGAAGACCAGACACAGTCACACCATATACAGGTGGAGAAGCCAGATTGAACAGGGCACCAGATGCCAAAATCTGGCACTGGAACTGTATTTTCAACAAACAGAAAATCCTGTAGAGACATTCTCTGGCTGGGACTTCTCCTCCCCATCTCGGAATACTGCACGGATGGCCTGGTTTTAAAAACCTTTGTGATCTAAATTTAATGAGTGATTTGAATGACTATCAGAGAGGGGACCGAAGCAAAACTTGTAAACACTCTGATTTTATTTTATTGACAAAGAGCAGACCTAGATAGAGTCCTATTCGAAGATGAGAAAAGAAAGGTGGAACTTGGCAATATGATTTTTAACTTCTAAAAGTTCATATGGAAAAATAAACATGTATGAGTAGCCAGAAAATTTGTTTAAAAAAGCAACAAGGATGAAGAATAGGTAGAGTTTCACCTATTCTTGTGAAGCTGTTACAATGTATTACAAAACTGGGGGTTAGTTCCTCACGAAGAAACAGCTAAACAGAATAGATTCCAAAGACTCCTATACACGTGAGAATTGTGAGTAAAGACTGCTCTCTTACTTGTAGAATTTAGAAAATTGTTTCTAAAAACAAAAGTGTGTTGGAGGACGAGAGAGTTTCAAACTTGAAATGACAAAGTTTATTTTATTGCAAGTATTTCAACAATAAAGATGTTTTTATAATTATAAAGGAATACAAATAAATCTCAACATCACCAAGCAAATCCAGAATTCAATTATACCTTTCCCTTATTACTTCTGACCTTTTTTTCTTATTATTATCAGCAGACCTATAACTATCAAGTTGCTTCTAGATATTCCTGATCACTTTTGATGCCCGTGATACTTATAATAACCAGCAAAGTGCTTTTTCCTATGTAATGTGGTAGTTCCAATTTTAGATGTGTTGTAACTCTTAATCCACAAAAGAGGAAACATTCATAACCTTATGCTCCCAATCAATACCTGAGCTACACCCCACATGTGGGGGGAGCTGCTAAATGCTGTGAAAATTGGTGGGATGAATTAAAAGGCTGAGTGAGGTTTCCTGCATCCAGCCATATTGGGCAAAATATGGTGTTCACCAAAACAAGTTGTGCACACTTGTTTGGAACAGTAAGGGTGGTTGCCTGGGTGGGCTCAGGGATGTTTTTTGAGTCCTCCTTGCTGCCATATAGTGGCAGGAGCAGTGGGGTGAAACAAGAAAACTTTCAGACAAGCCATCTTGGAAACAAGGCTGTCAATGTATCAAGATAAATATCAGTGTGAGTGGCATCCTGCAGCTGCTAATCTTGGTCACCTGAAGAGAATTAAAGGTTTTTATTACACAAAAAATATATGTGTCATATGTGGCTTTACAGTACAAGGGAGGCTCCTGCTAGGCAGGAGCTGAAATTGCTGCTCAGAGGATAGTTGATGAGAAAATGCTCAAAGACAATAGACCAAAGTTCAAGTACAGTCATTCTAAATCACTTTCCTGACATCCCTCCCATTATTTATTTAACAAAACCACCAGCATGGGGATTATGAAAAGGAAGATAAGAAAAAAGGAGTAAGGGAATGTGAAAACAAAAGTCAGATTAAAAACATACACCAGGAAAATTGCTAACAGTTTTTCTTGCAAATGAAATTAAAAATAAAATGACCTCTCAGGAATAATGAAAGTATTCAAAGAAGAGATACAAGAGTTCAAGGAATAAATGATAAGCAATAAAAAGACAAGAAAACAGAGTTGGCAGGGCTTGGAAAGAAGTAGAAGAAAAATATGTAAACATAGAGAAATCAATAGTACATTAAAAGTGTCAAAGAAGAAAAGATACCTCTAACATACTTGAAAAGACACCTCTAACATACGTTCAGGGGCATGAAGAATAAAATTGAAAATGAGATAGAAAATAATACAATATAAAAAGATAAGAGAGAACGATTCCAATGGAGTCAGAATGAAGGAATTCCAAAATAAGGATAATTGGTATCTCTGAAGAGAAAGTGACAAATGGAGCAGGGAAAATATTTAAAATTATAACACAACATTTTACTGAAATAAGGACAAATTTACAGACTGAAAGAATACATCATTTCAGGAAAAGTTGATACTGGTTGCTTTGTACTGAAACTCATTCAGTATTAAAAGACTATAAAGATAATGAAAACATTCTGTAGGCATCCAGACAAAAGAATTGGGTCACTGCTTGGAAGGAATTTACCCTGGTGTTAGACTTTCACCATTCTCCAGTGCTTAGAGAGAATATGACTCTACAGTTTTAAATCCAGTCAAATTTATATACAATGAATATAAACCACAGACGGACATCTTTAAGTTAGCAAGGATGAGTGCAAGAAATACAGTTCCAAGTTGTCCTTCCTGAAAAATATAAGAGGTTGAAATCCAGCCAAGCAAGTGATGAAGAGGACCTAATAAATAAGACTAATAGTGTATTAAACGCATTTAAATGTAGAACTAAAGCTAAAAAATGATGGGGCATATACTTACAGAAACAAATGTAAACCTTATATTATGGACCATTACAATCGTCCTGGCTCCCCATGTCCCCCAAGTGCACAGATGCCTGCACTTGCAATGGGTTGCGTTTCAGAAGAGCAGCTTTGTACTTGAAGAATCCGTCCCTTTTACATTGTGTGGTATCAAGCCATCTCTTTGGGGAGAGATGTTTTCTCATCTCTCAAGTTTGCTCACCACAAATACAATCCTGAGAAAGGAACCAGATAGAGAGAGACCAGGGACTTGCAGTCTTGGCATACAT